ACCTTTTGCTTGCTTGCTTGCGTCATGAATAATGATGTCATCCCTCAACTGATATGGTCTTTGGTCATTGATGTTCAAAGCATCAAATATATTATTGAGACGGTCTGGAATGTAGGTAGGATATACTCAAGGTTGTACTTTGGCTCTTGGGGACCTGTTTTGGTTTTATTCAGCTTCAACTTGAACGTCAATATGAGCAGTGATGTTCTGGTCCCTGGTCTTGTTCTAACGGATTGTATTGAGCTTTTGCATCATCCTTTTCCACAGATGTAGTTAATTTGATTTTCCATATTCCATTTTATGCTGTCCATGTGTGTAGTCACAATTTATATTATTGAAAAATAGTATTTGCAATGAGTGAGTCATTGGTCTTGAGAAAAACTCAATCGTGATGATCAGCCTTATTTCTGTCATTAGGTCTGTGTTTTCTGATCCTTTTTATTAATTTCCAACTTCGCATTACAGTCACCAGTAATTCTCAATGTTTCTTGATTTTATGTTTGCTCAACTTCTAACTGAAGAAGTAAAAGTCTTAAATTCTTTTATCTCAGGCATTAGTGATTTGGATATTAACTAGCCTTTTTTGGAATAGGGATATGGATAGGATCCTATTGTTGACAGCATTGTACTTCCAGTTAGATATGGAAATGTTCTTTTTGATGGTGAACATGACACCAATGGGCCATATGCTTGTTCAATTCAAAGTGGCCAAGGCCATTCAATTTAAACTCACCATTGCCGAGGATGTCAATCTTTATGCATTTCATTTGTGACAAACTCCCGGTTGTCTTAGATTCATACTTTATACATTCCCCATTCCAATCACAGATGGACATTTACAGCTGTTTCTGCAGGCTAAAGGGTAGGAAATTAATTCAAGAACAACAAAAAACCCAGTGCTTTCATCTCTGTGAAATTTCCAGGGCTCTCGTGGTGTGGGTAGGGTCATGTTGACATAATTGTCTTTTAGTAAATGTTTCTTAAACCTTTTCTGAATAATGAAGATGATTCAGACTGTCACCAAATTTAAAATTCGTAGGTGCATAAGCCCATATGATATTATCTGTAATAGGAGCTGGTGTATGATAAGTATCAGAAGAAAGAAGTAGATAAAGGGCTTGATAGTCAGACCATGGTTTCAAACTCAGCCTCACTACCCAAATGGTCCACTGATTACCTTCTTACTTCTATGTGTCCTGTGGTGGGAACAGATTCCTATTCAGGTGGGCCTTGTCCCGGCTACTGGGAGTGATGTTTTAAGGGCAGAGGTTTCAGTCATAGTTCCTTCATGAGTTGTCTTAACTGAGGTGAATCACCTTGTTCCACGTGAGAACCTCTTTCTAAGGGCACCCATGCCCAGTACTGGCCTGAAGCAGTTTTACAAAGGTTTAACCATCTCATCTCAACTTCAGTGGGCTCAGGAGCTCCCCAAGGGCACTCTCCAGGCTTTCATTGGTAACTTCTCTTCTCCCTCTCCTTACTGGTCCTTACTCTTGCGCCTATAGGTGATTTCAGGAGCACTCCGTAAGAGACCTGCTTATTCTAAGTACAGGGTCAGCGTCCCGAAGACCCTAACTTCTGCAGTGTCTTCACTGGCGTGCTAGACAGCACAATATCTGTTTTCAAAGGATTTTGTGGGGGTTGCATGAAAGAGTGTTGCAGAGTTGCCTAGCACAAAGCCTGGCATATGGTAAAGGCCCAGCCCATGAAATTTCTTGCCACTGTTTACTGCTAAAATGTGCAAGTGTGGAGTTCTGAGACAAATACCTAGATGAGAAATCATGAAAAATGTACTGAAATAAGGACACGTTAAGAAGACTCTTTAGGTATCAGTAGGGTTCTGTCAGCAAATAGAAACACAAAGTGTTCTGGGTAGAGATGGTATACATGAAAACATTTGCAGGAAAAGACTGGACTATTGAGAAATTGTGCATTATTCCATTCAGCTGCCATAGCGGTTGCCTATGTGAATTATGTGTGATTTGGCTAGAGAGACTGGGGCATTATATTGCAGAAG